TTACAGAGCTGAAATTAGTACTGTTTCTCCAAGAAAATCCACTACCCTATTAGAAACGCTATAAAGATTTCTTGTTGGGAATACAGCTGAAGAATTTTATTTCATGCCTCTCATGTGGAATTGCAAATGTAATCCACAGTGCTACATTATGTATGACACCTTTAATACAAGAATAGAAACATCCCTAGAAGACAAAATAGTGCATTCAGACTTCTGGTCACAAACTACAAACTACCACAGATACTATTTACTTGCAAATTCCAGGCTCTAAATTGTTGAAACTTAGAAAAAAGTCCTTTGAATGTAACATCAAATGCAAAATGATAATCTGTCATTAAATATCTGCAGATGGTGAAGAAATTTGAAAAAAGATACTTAAAATGCTTTAGCAAAAGAAAGCAAAAAGAACTCACAGTAATTGATTAAAAATTAGTTAGGTTGGTTAATCTTGATATCATCTGGTTCAGAATCCCCAGAGAGCCTTTCATTAAACAAGGAACTTTAGCTGTGGGTTTTTTTTTTAATATTCAGAAACCCAAAACTTACTTTTCCAAACTCAGTTGCCACTACTATAAGCTAGAGGGTAATGGTGTAAATAATTCTGTGCTTAGATTTTTTCCTAAGTATGATCACACTGAACACGTAAAACACATGTACATACACATACATCACATTCATTTATAGAACCCAGTTATGAAGAGGCTTCCTTACCTTGCTCTTCAATTATTAGCTCTGTCTACCCTGCTGTTTGGAAAGAAGAGGGAGAAGGGCCGAAATTAGGAGCAGGGTTTACAGTGACTTATTGGACCATATGCTACCCTTTTCAGGCATTAGAAAGCTCAGTAAAGAAAAGCCAACTCCATTCCTTGATAGAGCAGGTGCCCTGACTTGGACCCTTACTATTAAGTCTCAAAATTATCTTGTTTGCTATAACCACATGGCACCGATGTTATATTTTTATTGTGGACAAAAACTTGAAAAGGTTCCCCTTGAGTGGTCCTTAATTTTCTGTATTCATTTTAACTGAGTTGATTTGTAATTACAGATGGTCCCTGACCTAACAATGGTTCAGTTTAGGAATTTTAGACTTTATGATGGTGCTAAAGCCATATGCATTCAGTAGAAACCATACTTGAAATTTGAATTTGGATCTTTTCCTGGGGAACTTTGAATTTGGATCTTTTCCCGGGCTAACAATATCTGGTACAGCAGCTCCCAGTCAACTTCACCTTCACAAGGGTAAACAACCATACACTTAGAACCATTCTGTACCCATACAACCATTCTGTTTTTCACCTTCAGTACACTCTTGAATATCAAAACCTCAGTATAAAATAGGCTTTGTGTTAGATGATTTTGCCCAACTGTAGGTTAATGCAGGTGTTCTGAGTACATTTAAGATAAGCTAGGCTAACTGTAATATTCACTGGTTAGGTGATTAAATGCATTTCCAACTTTCCATTTTCAACTTATGATGCCTTTATCGGGACATAACCCCATTGTAAGTTGAGGAAGATCTGTAATTGTATAAAGGTAGGTATAATCTCCTGTGATGACTATTTTTATTTGAGAGTATAGGCATTTTGTATGACAGCACAATTAGTGTAGAATATATGTGCAGTGCTCATATGCATCCATTCTGGATTTTAAAGAGTTTCATAGGTTATAGTCTTCCAGACCAAACTTAATTCCAAGCTTTCTGTTTATAATATTGTCCAATTATCAAAGCTGGGATGTATTATCACTGCTAGTTACTCATGCTGTCAATTTGTTTTGGCTCAACTATGGTTCTATTTGTACTTTACTGTAATGTAGTGAATACATTGGATTGGGTTGTTAGTTTAACAAGCTCTCTGGAGAACACTTTCATGATGATGCGTGTTGAGATATGCTAGGTAGCCTTAAAGTTATTTGCGTATTTGCCAAAACCTACAGAAATTCATTCATTAGGAATTTTAAAAAGAATCAACTGTCAACCCACAGATTGAGGTAAAGATTACATTTGTAAAAATGGGTGTGTTAATTCACGAGTCCCAGCTAAATTTCTTTAGGGGTTTTGCTTTGACCAATTTCTCCCTTCTCTCATAATTTTATTGGATGAATTATTTTACGTCCCTTTAAAAAAGTATTCTGATAGTTATGCTGTTATTGAATCTTGTGCTCCATGCAGCTCACAGTGTTATGGGTACTTCGTGATCTTGGCCAGATATTGAACTGGGAGTTAAAGAAAATGTTAGCAGAGATTGGAACTGACTTGTTCAGCCGGTTTTAAAATGTGTGCTAAAATCACTTCTCTGCCCACCCCCACCTATTGCATCAAAATTTCCAGAGTCTGGGTCTGGGAATCTGTTTTGAAAATGCTCCTTTGAACTTTCTAGATTCTGGAAATGTTCTAATATTTTTATCTGATGGTTGTTACACAAGTATATATACGTTAAAAGCCTTCAATGTGTCTCTTTAAGATTTGTGCACTTCATTCTAGTATTTCATTCTTTCTGTAATACCTCTTTTTAATTTTTTTTTTTTAATCAAGTAAACTACTCCCAGTGCAGGGCTTGAACCCATGACCGTGAGATCAAGAGTCACATGCTCTACCGACTGAGCCAGCCAGGCACCCCTTGTAATACCTCTATTAAAAAAAAGGTTTATTTAAAAAGACACATTAGGGCGCCTGGGTGGCTCAGTTGGTTAAGCGACTGCCTTCGGCTCAGGTCATGATCCTGGAGTCCCGGGATCGAGTCCCGCATCGGGCTCCCTGCTCAGCAGGGAGTCTGCTTCTCCCTCTGACCCTCTTCCCTCTCGTGCTCTCTCTCATTCTCTCCCTCTCAAATAAATAAATAAAATCTTTAAAATAAATAAATAAATAAATAAATAAATAAAAATAAAAAGACACATCATTCTCCTTATTTCATCAAACAACTTGCAGTGGTTACTTAATAAACACTATTAATTGCCCACTCTTCACACAGTCATGACCCAAGAGTAGATGACAAAGTGGCTCTTGGCTCTTGGGAGCATAAAATCTGGTGATAGAGAAAGTGATGATACATAATATAAAGCTTTATAGTTTATGAAGTCTTTTTGTACAGATGATCTCATCAGCACTGTGGCTTATAGGCAATTTACTATCCCCACTTTTTTGTTAAACTTATCCCGGATTACTCAGCAAGTAGGGAGTCGTTGCAGGACTTTAAATTAAGTCTTCTATAACAGCCTGTAATTCCCCAGAAATAAGAATGCTTCAGTTAACAACAACAAAAACCAAAATCAAAAACCTCACATGGAGGCAAAAGCAAAAGTGTTTTTATGGAGCTGTAGAAGCCATTATCCAGAGGGTTCTTAATGGATATGGGATTTGTGTCAGATTTTCCTACAGCTCATTGTCACTCCATGTTGCCTATTTTTCATGTCACAGTTGTCCATTTGGACTCTGGAATTTTAGTATGTTAAGCTTTCTCTAGTGATTGTAATGTATGTAGAAAAATTTTTCAACTGAAATGCCTTGCTCTTTTAGCCTTTCTAACTTTGGTTTATTCTTGCCTCATTTTCAAATTCTTCAGAATTATTTCCAGGAGATGCTGGCCAATGATGAATCTTGTTCTTCCTGATTACATTTAGCATGTGTTATTTGTTCCATATTCTTTGGCACTTGGTCATTTCCATCCAACTCTTTATTACCGTCATGTATTTTTCTTTATTGTACACAAATTTTGTCTTCCTAAAAGGGTTATAAGCTCCCCGAGCATGAGACTATCCCATGTGGTGGGCACATAGTAGGATTTTCCAAGTGCTCCTTGACAGTAACAATACACTTGCTTGGTTTTTCCTTCCTTTTCCTGTTTACCCTTTGTCTTCTTACGCCCACTGAAGTTTGCTGCTGTTATGGCCTTGGTGTAGGAAAGAACGGACTAATGAACTTCTTAGGTGGGATCTCTAGGTTCCTAAACCCATGGATGGTGGTGGCATAAACTCTAGGAATAGGGCTCAGAGCTCTTTCACTTTTCTTTTCTTTTTAATGGGTAACTTCAGTGATAGAAAGTCTTGTCATAGTTGGCATACAACTATGCCAAGAAACCATATTTCCCTTTGCTAGTCCTCATCATCTGAGGAGCCTTTCAAAATACTGTAACATTTGCCTGTGTGTTTTATTCCTTTATGATGATCATCACTGCCCCTCCTAGGGCATGTAGAGAACCATTGGTATTCATGTTTATACAGTAACTTCCTATTTCAGAAGGTAGGGCATGGTCCCCAACATGGGAGGGTTGGAGTATATATCAATATCAACTTAAGAATTTGTTGGTGGTCCTGATTCTGCAGAGTGAAATTACTGCTTTTCAAGCCCTCACCTAGGAACTGACTGTATCTCTTGCATGCTCTTGAATTACGCTTATCCACCAGATCTCTGGGCTCACAAAGATTCCATAAAAGGCCCCTCTTCCTATCATATTCTTATAATTAAGCCAGATACTCTTCCTTGTTCAGTAATGCTCTCTTTATATATTAAAATGATCCTTAGTTTTTTGTAAAACAGTGTTTTGTTCCTTAGGGAGTTTCCCCTCTTTAAATAAGGCTAGTTTTGCAATAAATTCAAAGGTGGGGTGACCACTGAGATCAACTTCAGAGGGAGTGCTCCTGCTTATTGCTCTGTGGAAAAACTCATCTCTCTAAACCTACTGGTAATTTCCTGTCACATGGATTGGAATTCTAATTCAGATTTTATCCTCAGCTTCTGAACATTATGAAACTCCATCGTTATTTATGAAAAGCACGTTATGATATAGAAAGAATATGGACCTACAGTCTGAAGAGCTGAACTGAAATAAGGTCCTTAGAATTAACCTTCCACCACCACTAGCACCTCCATCTTTCCCACTGCCCCTCTTCATGCATATTTGCAGGTTGATCCCTGCCTTTTTCGGTTTCTCTTTATCCAAGATAGCAACTTTGGGCATGTAGAAGATATGTCCTGACTGATGTGCCTGCCTTTCTATTTCTAGGTGGGCCATGCACAGACACAGCTCATGTCTCGTTAATCACACCAACCAAAAGATCCTGTGGTACAGGTACGTACATCATTCTTATCTGGATTCATTCTTACCTGGATTCTTCACAGAAATTAGCTACTGGTTTTAACATGGTGTATTTGCCAGGGTACTGTCTAATTTCTTCCATCAATTGTCAAGTGATGTATTATGTGCTAAGTATTGGGAGTGGAGGTGGAGTGATGAGGGGTCAGAGTTGTGCTCTTTGAGGTCAGATGGACATTAAAATTTACCTACTTCCTAATGTTTGAAGAATATTATTAAGACATGAAACATACAGAAAATACAGATAATTGCCTAGTTTCTGGCATGTGTCTAATTTGTCTAAGTCTTGGACCTACTACAAAAACATTATTTAAATAATGGAGCTGGAGAGTGAAAGAAGTTTTGTAGTACAGATAATGAATATTTTAACTTGACAATTACAGTATCCTAATAGTTTTAGAAAATATTTTCTCCCCTTCATCTTAAAGCCATGGGGTATGCTGAAATCATTCTTTTTAGATGCATGGAATCCCAAAAACATCTTTGTGCATCTGTGACATTTTTATTAACCATGAAGTCATGAATCTTGTAGCTTTCTAAAGAGCAGTCGTTAAAGCCCATTGCTCCCTTAGTCTGTAGCTTAATTTATTTTAAACAATATTTGCCTTTTCTAATAATGCCTGCTATTTAAAATATCTTAAAGATTATATTTGGAAGAGTCAAAGTAATTATATTGTTTTTCTAAAGGTCACAGTTAGAGTCTTTTTCACAGCTTAAAAAGTCCTTTTAACTCCCCAGCAGAAATAGCACAAACTATTTCTGTGTACAAAGTTAAACTAAAGCCTCAGTCCCTTTAATGATCGTAGTTTTGATGTTAAACCTGAAACAGGTCTGTCCTTGCACAGTTTCAGAGTAACGTCCAGGCATTGAACTCTAAAGGAATTTAATTTTACTCTTCTACAGCAGTTTTGAGGCAGGGGGTGTATGAGATTGTCCTGGCATGCTCTCATCCCTCCTGTGCCCAGTACCCGAGCTCCCCCGGGTAGTTCCTGGTTGAGGTAGAAGAGAACTGTGCCCTGGGTTAAGGCCATCCTGACTGGCCCGTGGGAAGTCGGAGAGCCAGCTTCCTACACCCACTCCAGGCAGAAGCTTGAACACACTCAGAGCCCTTTGATTTCAGGCCCAGCACTTCACATGCACAGTATACTTTAGTCCTTCTTCTTTCCTTTCTTTCAGTCTTGGCTCTCAGGGCAGAATTTACCATTGGCACGACCAATGTGTTGAGGTAGTTAAGGAGTGGGCCTCGAATACATTGGGTCATCCTGAGAGATTTAGAAAGGAGGCTTATGTGCTCAGCGTAGACACTGATATTAGTAGGAACACTTCCTGAATATCATGTGCTTTTGTCCTTCATTTTCTAGGCAGATCTCTTTCCTCTCTTTTGCTCCCATACGATTTTGTTTATCTAAAAATAGTAACGGCATTTATTGCATGCTTACTACATTACCAGACACCATTCAGTATGTTTTACATACATGCCCACATAATCTTCAGAACGGTTCTGCAAGATAATCATTCCTCTTTTATAGATGACAAAAATAGGCACTCAGAAAGTTAAGTATATTTCCTGGGGTGGTAATATTCCTAGTAAGTAAGAGAGTCAGGACTTTGAACACAGATGTTTTATTCTTTTATTAAGTTTTTAAATTTAATTTCCAGTATAGTTAACATAGAATGTTAATTTGTTTCAGGTGTACAATATAGCAATTCAACAATTCTCTACGTTACTCAGTGCTCGTCAAGCTAAGTGTGATCTTAATCCTCATCACCTATTTCACCCATACCCCTGCCCACCTCCCCTCTGGTCACTATCAGTTTGTTGGATACAGATCTCTCAGATGCTAAAGTCTATGTTGTTTTCCACTACATAATGTTTCTGCTTATTGCATTTTATTGTAATTACTTATATGCCCAGCCAGACAGTGGAAAAACATATCATTGGTGAAGTATGGAGAAAGAGAAATAAGATTTTGAAACACTGCACATTGTGAAGTAGTTTTAAAAATGTGAGTTCTAGAAACAGATCTGATGTCAGATTCTAGCCTAGCCACTTACAAAATGTGATTTTGAGTAAATAAGTTAACATCTCAAAATGTGTTCTTCATCTGAAAAATGGGATGATAAATCTATCTCATAGGTTTGATGTAAGAAATAATATACATAAAGCTCACATAATAGATCTTTAATAATGGGAGCTGCTATCATACTATAATCTCTAAAGATTGTATGTGGTGTTGATGGTATTGATATCACATTAATGTTATTTCAGGCAGAAAGAAGAGTAGATTAGAAATTAACAGAATGGATTGCCATATCTAGTTTCATTTTTTTTTTTTAAGATTTTATTTATTTGACAGAGAGAATGAGACAGTGAGAAAGGAAACACAAGCAGGGGGAGTGGGAGAGGGAGAAACAGGCTCTCTGCTGAGCAGGGAGCCCGATGTGGGGCTCAGTCCCGGGACCCCAGGATCATGACCTGAGCCGAAGGCAGACACTTAACGACTGAGCCATCCAGGCACCCCTACCATATCTAGTTTCACTAATTGATTTTGTTGATCACATTTTTTGTTGCATGTCAGTACTATATTAGGAACTGAGAGTAATATGCACATGATAAGGGAGGCATTGAGTTCTCAGTCACACATTCCCAGGCCTCCTTTTAGGTGAATATAATACCTCTTAACTAGAAAGAGATTGAGAATTTCTGGCTTGGAAGGAAATTAATGCAATGTGCAGTTCACTCCCAAAAAGCCTGAAGGAAAGTTGAGATTTCTTAGCATGGACATTAAAGGGAATCAAGTTCCGCCTGCTACACTTCTTTTCAAGAAGCCTGCCTGTGCCCCCTCAGGCTCCTTGAACTAGCCATATGGCTTCTGCCTTACACAATGGCCCTGACTCTAGAGGACAGAGCTTCCTGATTTTCAGAGGTAAATTAAGTGATTTGCCTTAAGAATCACGGGTTGATTGTCTTTGTTTCCATCTTTCTGTCCTGGAATGAGAAGGTTGCCCACTGTGGGGATCCTGGGCATTTTTTTATGAATCACCACCAGTTACTTACTGTTGTGTTGCTGGAGTGTCTTGTATTCTTTATGTCTAGTCTTGAAGAGTAGTACTCAGTGCCTCTAACACTTGCCCTGTGGTGCTTCTGCCACAGTGGATACTACAACAGTAGTTCTCCTAAAGATCTCTCAGACAGGCTTCAGACATAGATGTTCCGTAAGTAATTACCTTACAACCACATGTTACTTCTTATGAGCTGTAGAGTGAGACCCTCTGAATTAGACTACACCAACTCTTCCCAGCCAATCTATCCATACAAGTTTGGACCTAAAGCAGCCTCTAGCATAATAATGATGTTATAGGGGCACCTGGGTGGTGGCTCAGTTGGTTAAGTGTCTGACTCCTGATTTTGGCTCAGGTTATGATCTCAGGGTCGTGAGATCAAGCCCCACTTTGGGCTCCGTGCTGGGCGTGGAGTCTGCTTAAGATTCTCTCTCTCCCTCTCCTCTACCCCCCCCACCCTCACTCTCTAAAGATAATAATAATAATGACAATAATGATGATGACATTATATTAGAAAAAGGATACTTAGGGCATACAATATATAGTCTGTGAGGTATGGGGAAAAAATAGTAAAAGCTCTTCATCTCAGCCTTTTAAAATTTCTGTTTTCCAGATTCAGTTCATAATTATATATTAGTCTATGCACATAGTTTAAAGCCAGCAAGTACACATAGAAGTATATATAATATTAAAGGTACATAGTCGAATATCTTAGAAACGTGTACACTCAGAAAAGGTAAGTGACCTCTTCAGTAAATAGGTCATTTTCTTTTTAGTACTTTGACAATTAGATATGAAGATTAGCATTAGACTCATTATTATATGGCCTTAATACGTCAAGGCCTGAATGTAAGCCTGAGTGGTTATGTCTCTATTTTTCAAGTGACAACTTTTTGATCAGAGGGTATTGTAATTTAGAGGCATGGACAGCGGTATAGCGTGGTTGGTCTGTAACCATCAAAATGAGAGTGGGAACTCTTTTTAAGAAATTGCTTTGTGAGAACTATGAGTCTAAGAAGCAGTTGCAAAAAGGAGCGGTAGTGGCAAATGAAAGATCAGTTTGTATTTGTGAGCTAGGTGAGAGGCTTTTCTTTAGATGCTGGCTTTTAGCCACATAGTACTATTAACATTTAAACTCTTTGTAATCTTTAGATGGGGGAAAAAAGAATGCCCTGTGATCATTGTGGTATTTAAGCAGAGAAAAATGAAGTGAGAATTGGGAAGTGCTGCCAGGTCCCAGGTTGCTTTTGGTTAGAATGTGAGAGTTAAAGCATTTCATACCTTCAGATTACTAGAGAGAGCTTACGTTTCTTCCAAGAGCTCAGAATGTTTTGCACATGTTCCCTTGTTAATTCTCACAACATTCCTGCCAAGAATGAGTATACTGTGAAAGAAAGAGTTCACGTTCCTTGGCAACAGACCACCAGAAGATTCCCTTTTGTCCTTCATCTTTTTTTATACACCTTAAGCCAAAATGTTGTAATCTGAGCTATGGTCATCTCTTCAGACAACTTTATTTCGAAGATATTTGGATATTTAGGTGAATATCTGTATGAGGTCATATTTTTATGTTTAAAGTGCCTTGTGGGACAGGACGAAAGTTTGTTGCCTTTTCCTAGGATTTCTTGTTTAAAGACCTATAACTTTTTCTTCATAAGACTTTTTGACAAGAGAGTTACAGCAAAAGAAATAAGTTGTTTTGTGTTTCATTTATTGGAGCTTGCTATTGTTGAACCTTAAATTGTAAGCTGTAATTGACAGAACCATGTCTTGTCTGAAATTTTTTTTGGAGAAATAGTCTCTTTCCACTAGGATCCTTGAACAGTGACTAACTCAAGGACCCTGCTTCTAAGTGGGGCATTAACCAACTCTTTGCTCTAGGCCCTACCTTGAATATATGAAGGGATAGACTT